CGTTTATCATGACCAATGTAATTCCTTAAAAGTCCTTTTTTAATGAGGGCTTCAATTTCCCGCTGCAAGGCTTGACAATCCTTCGTAGTATGCCCATGATCTCGGTGAAATTCACAATACTTGCTCCTATCTCTTATGTCAGGGGGCGACTTCATTCTTGAAGGTCACTTCAACTCTTTTATATCTTTGATCTCCATTAAGATACTTGCCTTGGAGGTGTTCAATCGGGTGAGAGGCCCTGGTGGCCCTTCATTCTTGTGTTTTTTCGAGGATACTCTGGCTGGGAAATGGGGTCATGTTGCTTCTTGTTCTCGGCCTTTTCATGGAAAGGACCAGATCTCTTTGGATTCGATGTTTCCTCCATATTAATGTATTTTTCAGCTCGGGTAAGGAGCTTGATCACTATCTGTGGCGGGGTCTTTCATAAGGACATCTTGAAGGCTTCACATCTTATGACGTAAGTAAGGACGGAGACAGCCATTGTGATGTGAAGGTTGGGTATTTGAAGCCTTTCTTTGTTAAACCTCATCATAAATCCTCGTAGGGTTTCATTCGGTCCCTGGACAAGTTGCATGAGAGAGGCCGTAGTCTTTCTGATTCGCTTGCTACTTGCAAAGAAGGCTGAGAACTTATCTGTCAAATCTGAGAATGAGGCTATGGAGTTGGGCTCCAAGGTCGAGAACCAATCCCTAGCAGCATTAGTCAACATTTGCGGGAAAGCTTTGCACATAACTTGATCCGGCGCTACTTGCAAGTTCATAACATCAGTATATACATTGAGATGGTTGATCGGGTCGATCGTCCCATCATACTCTTTAATGCGAGGATATTTGAATCTGTTGGGTACGGGATATGACAATATCTCCGGCGTAAATGGGGTGTTAGGGGTAAAACCCGTTGACCCCCGAGCATTCCGTTATAGGCCGGCTGTAATTCCTTCTTGAATGATCAGGCGATTTCTCCGGAATCCATAGCGACCGATCTCGAGCTCGAGGCCATGTTACGAATACCCAAGGTCCCTACTCCGCCAATTGCGGGGTTTGGTGCTCGAGCTCGAGCATCGTCCATAAAACCACCATGCTCTGCCTGCACCGGTGATGGATGCAAATTTCTTTGACTTAACAGCTGCGTGAGCGTGGCCACCTGCTGACGGAGCTCTTCGAAGGCTTTAGTTGTGACGATTACAGGCTGGGGTGCGGGCACTCCCGACGACTCTTCTTGAGGAGCCGGTTGATCTTCAGCAGGATGAGAGATGGGAGCGGATGAGCTTGCGGGAGGAAGACCTGCTCGTGTGTTAACCATGACTTTTCCTAGCGCTTTTCACGGACGGCGCCAATGCTGCTACCAAAAGTCGTACCTATTGATTTTCCGAACTTGAGGACTTTGAATACGTACGATCGTAATCTTCCAGTACCTGAAACAAAGGCAACAAGGTGTGTTCTTGTCGCCCTTCCAATACTTAAGTCAGAAAGAGAATTATGTACATGAGACTATAAACTCGAGAATAATGAAAACGTATCTGGACAATTACCCATGGTCATGTATTTATAGTAGTACGTCACATTCTCCTAGTGGTACTCAACTAGTTGGGTATCTCTATCCAACAGAGTCCTATTTGGTGAAAGAGTTGGACCAATGCCATGATTATATTTAGGATAGAATCCTTGCGGGAGTCAAGTATTAAAATAATATGGTAGAGTTAGAGTCCCAACTAGGTAGGAATCTTATTGGGTCAGTAATAACAATCGTGGGGTGCGAGGAGAATATATCCCGAGGACCACTCTTGCCCGAGGACAGGATTGTGGAGAGGATACAACAAGGCTGCAAGTGCTCGAGCATTATATCTCGGGGAAGGTAATGCTCGAGCACAACAGGTGAAATTGCAAGGGTCTCTGAGAAATGTCCTTGGGATAAATGTTCGAGCATAACCAAAAATTGCCATATCATTCCCAAAATCTCAGCACTCATAATTTACAAGTTTGATGTCTTAAACCCTTTCCGAGAATTAGAATTGGGATGTTTGGGCTTTAGAATTTACAAGTGGATTGTGGGAGAAACTGACATTATTATCATTCAAAAAGAACAGTCATGGAGTTGTAACAATCTTTTGAAAACTTTGTTTTCGGACAAGTTTCGCAGCTCTTAATTTCCTTATTCGATCTTCATTGGCGTACTATGCGTGACTAGAGTGGGCAGTGTCTGAATGTATTTTTCTTTTTTCGAGAGTAAATATATTTAGTTATATTGCATTTTAACGTCACCCGTTATTTTTGATAACTCAGCAAGAGTCAGTACAATTGGGTTTGGGGTGGGGTCAGTGAATGACATTAATGTAAGGACCAAACGGAGTGGGACTCTTTCGGAATAGGCGAAGGTAGCAGACCACACATGTAGGAAGACAAGGCCATTACATCATTGACACAAACGAATGGAAGGCAAATGAACATCGTGCTTGCTTACTTTACCATGTTTATAAACAAGTCGATAATGTGGGAAAAGTATGTACTCAAGTTGGTACATGAAGGCGTGCACGCACACTTTATAATAAGCTAGTCGAATAAAACAAATTTAACTTATTTGGTTCAAGCAACAACTTATCAAGAATGGATATGAATACTGAGACGTGTCCTATATATGTCATTTCTTTAAATGAGTAGTTGTCCCGAAAACTTGGTTGAGCTTCATTTTTAGTGAAATTCGACTTGGTCAAACCCCTCAACATTGTCCAATATGGGTTGGATCGATGCCTTTACCTCACCTTAGAAAGTGCCCATGTTCGCCGGATCGGCAAAAACTAGACAATATTTTTAGTGCTGCCATTACCACTCAACATTCTTGCCACCCAGTAATTTGCTAGAAAAAACTTGTAAAGCAGAAAAGAGGTGAGACAATGAGTGGGTGATGCTTCCCCAACCAACCAACGCACACCCACCCCTTCCTTGATGTCTCGTTTATGGTTTCTGCCATATATGTTCAAAACAAGACCCATCGGCCATGATTAGACTTTTCAACAACCAAAATTCCTTGGTTATTCTGCAAACCAGATGGGCACATCACCACAATATACCCACATGTGGATGGTGAAACTGAAATGAACCCGGGACCGTCACTAGCTATCATATTGTCTTAAATTATCAAATGCACATGGATCTTTGATCTTTTGCTGTTAGGCTCTCGATACTTCCCTTTTCGATCACATATCATCGATAATTTAGGTGGACGATTTTAAAGTGAGACAAATTGAAATCAACATTTTAATCATCTGTCTCAATTTTGTTTTGCTTAATATTGCTCTCCTAATCCAGATCAGTACTAGCATCTTATCTATAATATATTAAAATATTACATCAATGGAGAATCATTTTTTTGACCATTTTACCCTTCATACAATTCAATTATTTCAATAATACCTTACTTTTCGTTTTTCGATATGTAATACATACTATATAATTATTGTCATTTATGAAATTTTGTTATTAATTCTTAATTAATTAACATTCACATTATCCTAGATTCAATAAAATTTCACATGATGAATCTTGAATTACATGAATCTAGAATTTTTAAAGATGACTTTATTCATATTCATGTATCTAGAAATTTTAATGAGTGTTTAAATTTAAATTAATAATTAATTTTTTATGTATCAAATGTAATATAAAAAGATTATTCATTTATAATATTTCATCATTATAAAAAATTTGAATAATAAAAAATTGAGTTTTAAGAGTATAATATTCTTCTCTTAAATTTTTATGCTAAATTTTATTTTCTTTAATTTGTCCAAGACTCATCAAATCCTCAAACAAATTGGTACCAAATATATTTTTACATCACTTATAAAGTATTTTAGAATAACATACAGTGCACGTTCAACTTTAACTGGTACTAAGAAGCATACGACACCTCGGCCTCTCCCCCACTGAGCTCCTCCCGCAATGGCCCGTTTCTGGTGCCTGTCTTCGGTTGGATCAAAATTTTCTGGTGAACTTAGTCAACCAAAACTTAACAACAAGCAAGCAACTGAAAAATTAGTTGAAAGCTGTCCAAATATAAATGCTCCTTTCCTTTGTGTCAAACTGCAGGTCTCAATTTTAAAGTGGCTAACAACCTGCACTGCTAGGTGCTGGCCACTATCTTCCTTCTCCTGGATTATCAATCCTAAACAAGCAAGTTACCAGGCATTTGCTTGCTTATGTTCACAACTGGAGTAACCCTTTTAAACAAGCAAGATACATACGTTATGAAAAGAATTAGGATTTATTTCAAAGGGTTTTCTAATATTTCATTTAATTCTTTTCTTTGGTTATAGATTTTGAATTTTATTAACAGGGTATGTGATTCTTATTCTTGTAATGTCTTCTTTGATATTTTATTGATTGCAATAACAATCAAGAACAGAGAACATATTTTATCATGTTTTCCCTATAAACTGGAGTGAAATGGGATATAGCACCCATGCCATTAAAATCCGTTTATCAACATTATGTTGTTCATTTGTCCTCTGAGGTGAAAAGGGAAATAAAATTCATCTTCAAACAAGGAAAAAAACCATCAATTCCAACAAAGTGAACAGAGGTCACAAATTCAAGTCTCATTGCCACTCGTTTATCGAAAAAGTACACACGTGTCTAGCTTTGTATGAGAAAATTAATTTCTCCCAAGTAAGAGACATGTTGAAATGGTTGATTAAGTCACCAAAGGCTCTTTTTCTTTTAAGAGAACAAAATCGAATGAACTACTCTAAAAAGAATAGAAACACAGCCTGGTAAAAAGAAAGTAAGTTTCCATTAGACGAGAATTACACAAGACATCTAGTAGTTACAACTTGCAAAGGAAATTGAATATTCATGTGAAAGAAATATACGAAGCTATTGCGTAGTGAGTTCACACTTTCCTGCGTAATAATTACAAAAACATTTCCAAGCAGAAAAAATTAATAAGTTCCAAGTTAGCTTCTTCTAGTGACGTACTTCCATGATCTATTAACTTCTTAAGCGAACAATCCATATTTCACCTTGATATATCGAATTTTTGGGAGTAACCAAGATGCTCTGTCTCCCAGCTCAGTTTTGAAGCAACTCTTTCATGGCAAGGAACATACTCCTAAAAATAAAAAAGGTTTCAACAGTTCTACATGAGTAGAGTACCTCCATGGTGATACTCCAAAAGATGGAAAATTATTCATGCATGCTCGGTATGCAGTGTTAGATTATAGTGGACAACTTTAATTTCTTACACAATATTGTCCAGTGTTTGTTTGAGGACCACCTCTTGGATTTTCTTCACACATTCAAATAATTAGCAGTTCAGTGTCAACGTTGGGGAAAGAATTCAAGTGATGCCAAAATTTTAAATACAAGTGTTGGCAACGGTGGGGGGGGGGGGGGGGGGGGGGGGGGGGGTGAGGGTGGATTTTGTTCGTGTGACATCTCAATGGCCACCACCAAGCAGAAATTTTTGCGAATGCAGAATGATTTGTCTTCTTTTGAATTTTCAAGGTTTTCTTTTTCTTTCTTTCTTTTTTTTCCTTCCTTTTTGTTTCAACCAAAAATTGAACTTCTCTGCTTCTTAAGGCGGAATCTGGTTCGTTTACTACTATAATCAACAAAAATCTCAGTATATTAGTCATGAAAATTCAGAAAAGATACCTCCAATTTCTCAACTAGTTCCTTTGCTGTAGGTGCAGATAGAATGATTTGGCGAGCATTTGGACTAATGAAGCCTTCCTCAACGGCTTTGTCAATGAATGACAACAATGAGTTGTAGTATCCATCTACATTGAGCAAACCTACCTGCAAAATGTGTAATCCTCATGTATCATTACTTCTGAAATTCTTTCAAAGCCATATCTCAGGGATTTTCGGTTTTGAAAGATATTAACAAGGAAATTTTAGGCAACTGCTATGAGAAAATTAGAAAGATTGATAGCTGCATGTCGAGAAATACTGGTTTATCATGAATGCCTAGTTGAGCCCAGGTTATAACTTCAAGTAGTTCTTCGAGAGTTCCATAACCACCTGCAAGCATTTAATCTAAAGTTAAAAATTGAGCATACAATCTGACTAGGGTAAGAGAGTAAATTCTCCTTCAGTATACAAGTAACATCTTTAACATACTTGTATTCATGAAATTTAATTAGTACCAAAAAAGATCAAATTTATGTGGAGGTGGTACATCTAGGAAACATAAGGAATTTTTAATGCACTAAACACAATATCAAGGTTCAAGAAATAGTAAAACGTGCAAACTTTCAAACTTTTTTTTATAATGAAAGCACCAAGAGAGTCGAGCATATATATACATTAATACTATAAAGAAATAAAGTAGAAAATACAAAACATAGGAGATAAATATACGACATGGCCTTAAGTCAGCCAACGAAAGAAACAAAAGATAAACTTAACCAATCCAACAGTTTGGGAGCTAAAAATGATGAGATTTTATCTCACCATAGTCTCCAGCCTTTTTCCATTTCCAAAATTGGCATTTATTGCTATCATCCTTTGGAAAATCAGAGGCATGATCCTCTTCAAGATTTTCAGTTAAAATATCTCCCATACTACAGGGAAGAATTCTATATAATTCAGTACACGCTTTTAATTTGTTTACAAAATTAATTGCCTCATTAAGAAATTAAGATGCAGCCATACTGTGACAAGTAATAATTCAACACAAATATCCCCTAACAATGAAGTGCAACATGAGTGGATATTCATATGAATCGAAATCACTCGCTTTTGGCATAGCCCCTAATTTTGTTCAAAGATTTCGTCCGACACTTTTCCGGAGGCGCTCTTGCAGCAAAAATGAACGAGACTAGGTGATCAGTTTCTTAAAACCTTGCATAATTTTCATGTAAAAAATTAACCAAGAGGGATCTGTTTGCATTTCTTCAGAAGTATCACTGAAGAATGTGATTCAAGACAAAATTTTACATGCCGTGATTAGAGGAATTAAACAAGTTGATGACTCTTAATATAATTGTTGGACTTGACTTGGAGTTTACTGCAAAAAGTTGAGGATTTCTTCTGCAGGAATTGAAGCAACCTGGCAAGGCAATAAAAGCATCAGAATGTCTAGACATCTCTGCCTTCCTTTGGTGCATATCTGCAACTGCCTTCACTTCTCCTACTGTTACACCAGTTAACTGCAAAAGGTCAAAAAATCCCATCAAGCAAAAAATTGAAAAATGCTGAACCTTCAATATGGATTGGGTTGGGGGACAGAGAGAGGGGTGAAGTCTAATTGTACTGAGTCTCTGCATTTGTTCACTATGAAGATTACAAATTAGAGGAACGCTTGGCTAACTTAAAAGTAACTTTTTTTTAAAAGCACATGAGAACATACTTGTTGAAAAGAAGTTAATTTTAAGTACTGTATAGACTAGCCAAACATGCTTTTCCAAAAATCTTTGAAGTCAACACCTCATGTGGTTGATATAATAGCAGATAAAAGTGTGCATAGAAAGAATTTGAATCACAGAACAGTCCAAGGGAGAAAACTACAAGCACCTAACACTCATAGCACAGGAAAGTAGATAATCATTAATCAGAAAAGGAAAAAAATCAGTGGTAACATTTGAAACCCAAAACTCTGGCCACATATGGATAAGGCTAGCAAGCACCAAGAAAGAAACAAGACCTGCATTTCTAAAGGACTTAAAGCCAAATATCAATAACTAAAAAGGTAAATCATTGGCAAAGACAAGGTAAAAAAGATGATTTAACAAAATTATTGCAACGAACAGCATTAAAAGCAAAAAGTAAAGAACCAAAGAAGGACAGAGATGAAGATTAAAGAGAAAGGAATTAAGGAAAAATGCATTAAAAACAGTAGAGTATTTGATCTAATAATATAAGAGAAAAGGCTCAAGACTTTTATAATCACAGGGGACATACCTCTCGAGGCATGAGCGTCTTGGGAATAACCCTGCAGAGGCAGACAATAACATGACAAAAAAAATTAGTTTTAATGAATTATTAAAAGACTAAGCTTAACAAGAGTCATATTCATATTCTATATTTTAAAACCATTTGCATTTTTTATAGAGTTTCAATCCGAGGGAACTACTCGACAGCATAAAACTAAGTTTTATTTCCGATAAATTTGGAACCGAAGGTAGATTGAACTACAAGGAAAGGAAGCCCACCCAATAACATGCCGACCGCCATCATGAACAGCCTGCGAAATCAAACCCATGAGGCCTATGCTGCCTCCTCCATAGACCAAATCAATGTTTCTAGAAACCTTCAACAACAAACAAATATATAAAAGCATTTTTATAGTTCTTAAATCTTAACCATTTAAAAGTATCATTATGAAAGAGGGAAAAAAGATACAAATAAATTCTACAATACTCAAGCAAAGAATGCAAGAGACCAGGAGTACTTCTTATCACACGTTCTTATCCATTTGAGGAAGAAAAGAAGGAATAATTGTAAAAATAGAGAGAGACCTGTGCCTTGTGGATGATAGTAACGGGACAAATGGCAATCAAATGTAGACCTGTACCTTGTGGAACCTTTAATTAAATGAACTATGTCCACTCATACATCCAGAGATGTGAAAATACTGCATTAGGTCTCTATTTGACTAGACTTGAGAACAAACAGAATTTTTGCATGAGAACAAACAGGGAAGCAACTAACAAAAAATTCCAGCGAATGTTAGACGATTTCGAGCAAAAAACCCATGTCATTTCTGTACGCATAAAAGTTGCAAAAACAAGTTCTTGACACATAAAAGTTGCAAAAACAAATTCTTGAAAAACCCAATTTCATTTATGAACAGCCCATTTGAAAAAACAATCTCAATATTGATAGCTCACTCAAAAAATAAATAAAATAAATAAACAAAAAACAAAATGAAGTTTCTTTAATGTACCAATTCGTTGCCCAAGTCAATAGCAGCTTCTTGATAGCTAGTTTTCTTGCCTTGGCTACTCCCACAAAACACACAAATCCTCTTGAATTTTGAAGCCTTCACCTCACTCTGTGTCTCCATTTTCTTCGGATTTTCTCGCTCCTCTCAGCCTCTCTCTCTCTCTACACTATATATTTGTCTCTATCTTTGTGTGTTTGTAACAACTTGATAATAAAAGACAAATCTTGCTTCTTTTAATCCTCTTCTACCATACACATTTTAGCAAATATGTAAGGTGTGTGTGTATATATATATACACAATGTATAGAAAGAAAGGGGTGGTGTGCCGCAGAACAAAAAAGCATCAACTTGTAGAGACCCTTTTGATCGACCACCCTTGCTTAGTCCCTCACCAACAAAATGCTTGTATTTATAAAGGCTGTTGCACGTGGAAAACACAGTGGCCATGCTGCCCTACGTGACTGGCACGTGTGGACAATTTTGTTATTTCATTTAAATTAATTTAATTGTTTGAAAATGGATGGCTTTTAATCCAAAATGACAACATGTTATTATCACTAATATGATTAATCTATGGGATGGAATACTCTCTATTAGATCTGGAATTCTTCAATCTTCTTATAAAATTCAAGATTATCTTCATGTCTAATCGATGGGAGACACTTGTTCACATATCTCCAACGATTTCTCTTCAATGAAGTGCCATTTTATCACGATTCACACATTATAATAACAACGCCATCAAATGATGGTTGTTTTCTTTTTTCTTCCTTCCACAAGAAACAGGGAAGGTACAAACTTCATTGAAGTTTATATGGTCTCTAATGTACCAAGCACGTTACCACGGAGCCTACCACATCAAATGTTCATCATCAGTTCGTCACTAAGTCTCTCTTGATCACAATTAATTAGGACTCATTGTCGAGGTTTTTGACCCATATTAGATTGGATTTTTTATTTTTATTTTTTGAAAATATTATTTCCTTTATTTCACGCATTTTTTATACTATTTCCATCTTTAAAAATGTTGTTAGGGTTTTGATATGTTCCCTATATATAGTTAGCTCTTCTTTACAAGTTGATTGAATACTAAAATATAGAATAATTGTGTAAGCATCCATATTAGTCAATTGAATAAAATATTCCGTTCTTCTGCTTATTAATTCTTTACCTTTTATCTTGTTGTTTGTTTGTGATCATATATTTCATATCGTGTTATATGTATTACCTCGATCCGTTTTATTCCAACAAGTGGTATAAGAGCTATTGGTTGTGACTTGGTCGAGGTTTTTGTTATTGATGACAATCATAAAGTATGCAATTTCGCTTTTGAATTGCAATACAAGATTTTCATTGTGGCAAGTGAAAATGTGAGTTGTACTCGTGTAGATGAATTTGGTTGATGTATTGTTGGAATTTGACAAAATGCCCACAACTTGGACAACGGAGGAGAAATAACGGAAGGATCGAAGGTATTTTCATAGATCCATCTTCATCTCTCTAATAAAATTCCACATGATGTTTTTTAGGAAAAAATTGTAATTGTGGTGTGGTTGAAACTGAAGCAATTGTGCATGATTAAAAATCTAACAAGTAAATTGCATCTGAAGCAGAGGTTGTATTCTCATTGCATGGAAGAAAAGCAAGTCTTTAGAATATCACCTAGTTCTATTCAAGGAGATCGTTGCTAATTTGAAGACTTTGAATGTAAAGTATGATGACGAAGATTTGGCCTTAATTCTTTTGTGTTCGCTTCTTGTTTTATTTGCTTCGTTTAGAGGCATGATCTTGTATAGATACTCTCACCATTGAAGATACACATGATGCTTTATTTTCAAAAGAGAAGATGAAGCATCTGATTGGATCTGAGGTCAAAGATGGAGAAGGATTTGTTGTTCGTGGTGATTGGAGAAAGGATGAGTCAATGTCAAATTTCAGTAATCGGGTTTGTTATTATTGCAAGAAGAAATAACACTTTAAGAGGGATTGCGACAAATTACAAAAAAAGATAATTTGACTGCAAATAATGGGGAGCAATCAAATAGATGTTCTAACAATTTCTGACATGGAATACAAACATGACGAGTAGTTGATTATGGATAGTTCCATATATATCCCAATCGAGATTTGTTTGAAATATATTAAATGGTGACGTGGGTAACAACGAACATTATCGGGTAACTGATATTAGTAGAGTTAGATTGAAGCTGGTAAATGGCACATGTAAAATACTTGATCACGATCGAGATATTCTAGACTTGAAGAAGATCGCATTCCGTTGAGTATTTTTAATTCAAGACTGTGCACGTTCATTGGAGAAGATGGAGTCTTGAGGGTTTGAAAGAATGATCGTGTTGTATTGGAGGGGAGGAAGAAATCCCAGTTATACATCTTGAAAAAGGTTAGGCAAAATTTGTGAAGAAAATTCAACATATATTTAGTACCGTGGAGAAGATTCGACTGGGTACTGTAACTTTGGGATTTGGCTTGGGATCCATATCGAAGAATACTACTCAGTTGGGTTTGAAAGATGTGGCCAATTCCGTTTTGCTACCATTGCCCGGGGCTCCATCGTATTCAATTGATACGTGGATGTTGATTCGGTTGCATATAAATTTGACTTTTTTGAAGGTGTTGAGACTAGTCAGGGCCTTGTAAGATAGCATTAGGAGTTAATTTTGGTACGAGGTGTGCTTCAACATTGCTTGGTAATTTCTAATTCTTTGTGAATTTTGGGAAACCTAGTGCTCGGGTTCATGTATCCGTTCTAGATATCATGGAATAAGAAGAGTATTTTTGTGTTTGAGAAAAATTGGTTCTTTGAAGAGTTCCAAATTTCATTGCAGTTCGAAATATTTTTTCAGGTGGAGAAATTTTGGAGTTTCGTTCGTTACATCAAAATTTGTGTCAATGTGACAATTGTTAGGAGTTTTTAACCTAAATTAGGTTGGATTTTTTTTTCCGAAAAATATTGTTTCCTTGATTTCACATGTTTTTTATTGGAAAAATATTCTTTCCTTTATTTCACATGTTTATGATGCTATATCTTTAAAAATATTGTTATGATTTTGATATGTTTACTATATATAGTTGCTCTTTCTTTATAAGTTGATTGATTAATTAAATATACAATAATTGTATAGGCATATTTATTGTATTTGTATTTCTCTATATTAGTCAATCGAATAAAAAATACACCGTTCCTCTATCAATTAATTTGTTGTCTTTTATATTGTTGTTTGTTTGCGATTATATACTTCATTTCATATCATATATATTACATCGATCCGTTTTATTTCCCAACACCCACTTCAGTTTTATTTATTTTTTATTTTTTGCAGGCTTTTGGAAACTTTTTTTTCTTTTTTTACATCCACACGGCTATATTTATCCTATGATATTTCAGATTGAGATCGTGGTGGATGGAATAACCTAATTTCCTGCAAACTCGAGATCAACCATATGTAAGATTTATGTTTGTAATCTTCAACAAGAAACGTGAGTGGAATTTTTTATTGGAATCTAAAAATGTTGTTCTTAAATTGTTATTAGATTAACACATAAGCAATTATAAATTGCTTATTAACTCGCGATTAACATTTATAGCTGGAGTAAAGTGAAGCTAAAGTTTTCGGTTAAAAATATTATGTATGAAGATTCAAGGTTTAAAAAGGTTGTCCTTAGTAAAAGGAGTAATATAGGCTAATATATGTTGGTTATCAATTTCGTATTTAATCAATGTTAGAGGCTAAATTTTATCATTTAACATGCTCTCACAAGATGATGACTTGTTTTAAAAAATCATTTTCGAAATTTTATTGCTTGTTTGAGTTGTAAACTGATCAACTTGCTTTCCCGAGCTTAGGGTGTGTTTGTCGCCTATTATTTGGGAATAATGTATTATAGAATAGTGATTGATGTTAAAATGTGTGGTTAAAAAAGAAAGAAAAGTTTTAGATTAACGTGTAATATTATTTTAATAAAAAATATGTAATTGAAAATTAGTACTGTAGAAAAAATAATGAGAAAGAATGGAAGAAAATGAAAGACAAATGGGGTTTAATGTTTGTTGATATCACATTAAGAAGTCAATATTAGTAAGATGAGTAATTCAAACTCTTATATTTATTTAGGCTCCGTTTGATACGCCATATTTTTTATGGAAGTTGGAATTGAAAAAGTCATTTTTCACTTTTTGCCATGTTTGATAGGCAATATGTTCCTGACAAATTGTTTTCTAATTTTTTGGCACGTGACCTTGTTTTCCACGAAAATGAGGAATTTGTATTCCAGTGGGTTAGCTGGGAATTGGTTCTCTTGGTTGCTGCTTATACTTTTTTTTCATTTTTTTTTTTTTTTTTGGGAAATGAAAGCAAATTCTATCTCTAATTGTAGAAAAAACATTTTCCTTTAATTGACAATTTTCATATAAAACAAAGTCAAACGAGCACCAAAAGATAGATGATTTTCTTGATTTTTTTATGGCAATGGAAACAAATTCTATCCCCAATATCAGTAAATTATATTCCTTTAATTGACAATTTTCATATAAAATAAAGTCAAACGAACACCAAAGACATTTTTATTTCAACATTTTTCACGTGAAAAATTATACCAATCAAACACAATAAATTGACAATTCTCAGTAAAATAATTTCTTGACAATTCAATTCCCTGAAATTTATTTTCTTTCCGTCCAAATTCCATCTTTGCAATCAAATAGACATTTATTTGTTTAACTTGTAATACTACTAAAATTCTAATACTTGTTTGAATTTTAAATGAATTCAATCACTCGTTTAAGCTTGCTGTCCTTTGATAGTAAGATTTAAAATGTCAATCCTTTTAGAAGGAATAATTGATAGTAAGATTTAAAATGTCAATCCTTTTAGAAGGAATAACTCGAATACTGATATATTAATTATCGATATGATATTTAGCCCAGTTTGACAATCCAATCAGGC